CTATGGGACTTTCATCAGGATCAGGAATAAACATTAAGTAAAATAAATAAATATATATAGGGAGAGAAATTAATGTGGGTGATGCTACTGGCGTTCCCCGGTACAGAGTGCGCATTCGTGAGTATAGACCCGCCCCTTTGTGACTTGATGACGTTCTGCCCGTTTCTATGAACGTTGTTAGTAACCAGGGAAACATCTATAAACATCCTCCGTGTGTAGAGGATCGTGCTTAAACCCAGTGATCGTGTATCAGTGGATGATATTGCTAATCTACAAGAGGAAGTGTATTAATGTATACACTGAATCCACCTTGTGTGAAATGATATTCATAAGAAAGATTTCATGTTAAAAACATAAGAGTTGTGTATTGAAATATGTTAGGACATTGATATATATTTGGATTTACATATTTTGGAGACTCTTCATGTTTGCATGTACCAACCTAAGTGTTTCTTTTCATTATTGGAAGTATTATATGATATCTGTGTTTTCATACTCATCAGCCTATCTCACAAATTGCAACACTTACAAACCGTTAAATGTGGACACTTTCAGATACATTTCAGATAAATTTGCTTCTTGCATTCATCAGTTACTATTCAAACTCTTATTACACTGTTAAATTAATCAAACCCACTTAGTTTAATTCAGTATTATGTATTTATTTCTTATTACATGCAGTTGGTATATTTATTTATTTGTTTCTTATCTCTCACAGTTGCATTTTAAATTTTTAATATTTATTGCAAAGTACCGTTATTTACTTGCGCCTGGATTTCTGTATAATTAATAATAATGAAATGTGAGTTAAATCAGATTTTCATTCTCGGAATACTTTTGTTTCATTACAAAACATGAGCAAATAGCCCTGATTCACATTAAGCTAATTCTTCTGAGAAATCTCTTAGGTTGCATTCTTGAGTAGCTTTTCAGTTAAGAAGATTTGGATTTTAAAAATATTGCTGTTAAATAAATATTAACGTGATTTTTTGTGACCTTTTATCAAGATGATTAAGAAGATAAGAAAGTAAACCGAGGGAAAGAGACATGAAACATTTGTGTAAATGACTATTTATAATTAAAAAACGCTGCTATCTAAAGAAACAAAATAGTGTTAAGAAAACAAGTATGTATTTAGATGTGCACGCCTCTGCCCCTCCGTGATAGTTAAATAAAGCATATCACTTATCATACACCCACTGAACGCTGGTCTCGACACTATTGCCCCGCCTTCTCTGTGTCACATATTCATCCACTTATAAAAATGTGGTTAATGGCATTTACTGTCCACACAGGAAAAATTGTGCCACGCAGCAACCAAATCCACAGAGGGGTTAATGCTGAGCAGCAATTATGCAAATTAGATCTGGTACCTGCCTTTCGGGTCAAAGGCCGGTTACAGCCTTTCAGATCTAGAGGAGAGGTATTTAGGCCCAGTTCTCATCCTGCTCAGTGCCCTGTCGTGGTTTCTCTTGTGGTTGTCCGAGAGCGCGTTATTGATTCTGGTAATTCTGGTTATTTGACTTTGGCATTGTTTTTGACTTCCCTGTTTTCTGGCATCCCTGAGCTGAGCAGCAATTATGATCTGGTAACTGCATTTGGGGTCAAAGGCTGGTTACAGCCTATCAGATGTAGAGGAGTGACTTTGGCATTGTTTTTGACTTCCCTGTTTTCTGGCATCCCTGACTCCTGGCTTTTCCTTATCGTTGTGTCTCTTTTTGTTTCCCTTGACCTCGGATATTCCTGACTATTCTTTGGTACGTTAGTCCGGTCATTCTAAGGTCCGGTATACATTACCTATCAGTCCTCTGTGTTACATAATTCTACGTGCTGGATCATTCTGTAATCCTGACATTATGACATGGCCATAGATCCTGACCTCCCTATACAGTCCGAACCCGAACCTATGCAGTTGGGGGTCACTAGACTGTCCGAGGCAGAAAGACAACATAGGAGAAGAGAGGGTCTGTGCATATACTGTGGTAAAAAAGGACCTATGAGGAGTACTTCTCCCATACGTCCGGAAAACTACTACACCTAAGCACCTTAAGGGGACAGGTCTTAGGTGTAATGGAAACGTCCTCTGGAATGGATAAAAATAGGTTTCTCATTGATATTTCTATTGCCTTTGAAAAGAAGAACTTTTTATGCAAAGCACTGATGGATTCAGGTGCCGATGGAAACTTCATCGATGTTCAATTTGTTAAAGGTAATACTATACCTATCAAGGAGAGACTATCACCCCTAGCTGTTGACGCTATTGATGGGAGACCACTCTCACAACCATTGATTACACACAAAACCTTACCCATTAATTTGTCCATTGGTGCCTTACATAAGGAAGAGATTATATTTGAGGTTATTGCATCCCCTTCCTGTCTGATCATATTAGGCTTTCCATGGCTTAACAAGCATAACCCTCATATTGACTGGGCTAATGGGGAAATATTAGAATGGGGTAACGATTGTTATGAAAGGTGTATATTGAATGTTGCCAAAAGAGTGGGCACTATTGGATTACCCACTAGTACACCTCAAAACCCGGAAATCCCTATACAGTATCAAGACAATTGGTCCAAATTATTACCATGGGCCGAGTTTGCTAGGAACAATGCTGACCATGACTCCTCTGGGCATAGTCCATTTTTTGTTAATAATGGCCAGCATCCTACTGTCCTACCGGCTGTTTTTTCTGATACGGCTATTCCTGCTATGGATGACCATCTGGCTTCCATCCGTGAAACCTGTGTTAAAGTTCAATCTGCTCTGGGTACTATTGCTGACCGTTTCAAGCATTATGCTGATGCACGTCAAGGTACCAACCCTGTTTACCAAGTGGGTGAGAGGGTTTGGTTATCTTCTCGTAACATCAGGCTCAAATTCCCTAGCATGAAATTTGCTCCTAGGTTCCTTGGACCTTTTCGTGTCCTTCGTGGGATCAATCCTGTTGCATACTCTCTGGCCCTTCAGGCCTCCTTGAAAATTCCTAATACCTTTCATGTGTCTTGCTCAAACCTCTTGTTTGCAATAAATATACTGTCTTAAGTGTCCCTCCTCTCTTAGTTGTTTCTAAACAGGAAGAGTATGAGGTCTCCTCCATAATTGATTCCAGGTTTTCTCAGGGCACTTTACAGTACTTGGTGGATTGGAAAGGTTATGGACCAGCCAATCATTCTTGGGTTCCAGCATCTGATATACATGCTGGCCACAAGATTTGCTATTTTCACGCCAAATTTCCTCTCAAGCCTGGTCCTGCCTGCCTGGTGGGCGTTCTTCAGGTGGGGGGTAATGTCACGTATTCATCTACTTATAAAAATGTGGTTAATGGCATTTACTGTCCACACAGGAAAAGTTGTGCCGTGCAGCAACCAAATCCATAGAAGGGTTAATGCTGAGCAGCAATTATGATCTGGTAACTGCATTTGGGGTCAAAGGCTGGTTACAGCCTATCAGATGTAGAGGAGTGACTTTGGCATTGTTTTTGACTTCCCTGTTTTATGGCATCCCTGACTCCTGGCTTTTCCTTATCATTGTGTCTCTTTCTGTATCCCTTGACCTTGGCTATTCCTGACTATTCTTTGGTACGTTAGTCCGGCCATTCTAAGGTCCGGTATACGTTACCTATCAGTCCTCTGTGTTACACAATTCTACGTGCTGGTTCATTCTGTAATCCTGACACTTGGCTGACATCATCAATCTTTATGATCTCAGCCAATCCAAAACTTCTTTTATAGGGAAGCAAGTATGCATGAACTGCAAAATGCTGTGCTATTGTCTCTATTATTTATTTATTTATAAAATATTTTACCAGGATCGATACATTTAGATTTCTCTCATTTTCAAGAGATTTCTATGAGAAGTATTTGATTGCATAAGCAAGTTAAATGTATTATTTATTCCTAATTATTGCAGAAAAGCACATCTAGTGGCTGTCAGGAAGGTAGCCTTTAGAGGTGTGTTATCCCTGCAATGAAAACTTTGCAATATTCTCAAAACAGCAATGTTTTACATTGGCGCACTAAAATGAGAGGGCAACTGCATACAAATCACTTAATTGAGATGCCTATAATAGTCCTTTAAAATAGGAATATTATTTAAGAACGACCATGGTAAGTTATAGAAAAAATGTATAAATGATTTAAATAAAATGTGTCAGTTATTTATCAAATAATATAATAGACAATTGCTTTATTTAGGGGTGTATGATATATTATTATGATGATTGTTATTGGGATTTAAATAGCACCAACTTATTCCGCAGCACTTCATTTAAGTTAAACATCAAAATACCAGTATCAATTTCTGCACTAACACTGAACAATCTTACTTCTAAGTATCTGTCGGGATTTTGACAAGAGGAGTTTGGTATGCTGAAATTGGCACTGATAGTCCTTGACTAGACCAATCTTTCTCTCAAGATAGAGTCAAAGTAGAACTAATCACTAGTTTGGAAAGTGGTATTAACACAGCTATAAGGTTTGTATCACAGGTCAGTACAGAAATAAAGCTTGAGCTGGATGTTTGCACAGGAATACAGTTTACACTGGGAATTTGCACAAGAAAGAAGCTTGTTCTGGAACACTTTAGGGTCTATACAAGAAAGCAGCTTGCTCTGGAACACTGAGGGTCTGCACAGGAAAGCAGCTTGCTCTGGAACACTGAGGGTCTATACAGGAAAGCAGCTTGTTCTGGAACACTCAAGGTCTATACAAGAAAGCAGCTTGCTCTGGAACAATGAAGATCTGCACAGGAAAGCAGCTTGCTCTGGAACACTCAAGGTCTATACAAGAAAGCAGCTTGCTCTGGAACACTAAGGGTCTGCACAGGAAAGCAGCTTGCTCTTGAACACTCAAGGTCTATACAAGAAAGCAGCTTGCTCTGGAACAATGAAGATCTGCACAGGAAAGCAGCTTGCTCTGGAACACTCAAGGTCTATACAAGAAAGCAGCTTGCTCTGGAACACTAAGGGTCTGCACAGGAAAGCAGCTTGCTCTTGAACACTCAAGGTCTATACAAGAAAGCAGCTTGCTCTGGAACAATGAAGATCTGCACAGGAAAGCAGCTTGCTCTGGAACACTCAAGGTCTATACAAGAAAGCATCTTGCTCTGGAACACTAAGGGTCTGCACAGGAAAGCAGCTTGCTCTTGAACACTCAAGGTCTATACAAGAAAGCAGCTTGCAATGGAACAATGAGGGTCTGCACAGGAAAGCAGCTTGCTCTTGAACACTCAAGGTCTATACAAGAAAGCAGCTTGCAATGGAACAATGAGGGTCTGCACAGGAAAGCAGCTTGCTCTGGAACAATGAGGGTCTGCACAGGAAAGCAGCTTGCTCTGGAACACTGAAGATCTGCACAGGAAAGCAGCTTGCTCTGGAATAATGAGGGTCTGCACATGAAAGCAGCTTGCTCTGGAATAATGAGGGTCTGCACAGGAAAGCAGCTTGCTCTGGAACACTGAGGGTATGCACAGGAAAGCAGCTTGCTCTGGAATAATGAGGGTATGCACAGGAAAGCAGCTTGCTCTGGAACAATGAGAGTTTGTACAAGAAAGAAGCTTGTTAATGCCCTGGGGAGATAGCGCAGATAAGCGGACAAGGGCACATGTATAAGTGTGGAGATAGATGTTTGTGATTGGTTGTAAGTGTGTATGGGAGTGGTTATGTGTTTTGGAGTGGTATATGGATCATCTTACCTCAGTGCCTCTTGGTAGTCGGGGAAGCAAACAACTTCCCTCTCACCTCCCTTTTTCTGTTTGTTGTTTGTTCCTGTTACAGCTAGCGGGGGGCGTGTCCTTGCAAATAGGTTTTGGGGGCTATTACATTGAGTGTCAGGATATGGACCAGGTCGGGTCTCAACCTCCCCTGCTCTGTAGGGTAAACTTTTAAGTTACCGACATGGACATGCCCAATGAGCTAGAAGCAGGCTGGTGGTAAGCATTGCAAGGAAAGGGGAATTTGGTTTGGACGAGGGGGGAGGCGAGAACCCTGTGCATAAGCACATGGTCGCTTTCATTGGCAAGGACGTTTATGTACGCTAAAGTCTGTAGGGCACTAGGTGTTAATTATATGTTAAGTTACGGATTATTTATTTATTCATCTCTGGTTATAATTAAATGATAAAGTTTAATAAATGTTGGATGAGCACTACAGTCTTATGTTTTAATAAGTGATGTAGCATGTTTAATCAAAATTCAGTGTCTGTCGTTATTGGGGGTATTTGGGGTTTGTGTATCTGTGTGCCACTTTGTGCTATTTAAATACATACACACACACAGATACACATTGACACACAAATACACACACTGGCAAATAAAAACACAGATACACACCAGCACATACAAAAAAAAAGGATTACGCAACAGCGCAAAATTGTTTTTTTGGGGCGGGGGGTTAGGGGGGTGTTTATGTTGATAAACTATGTCAAAGGGTTCCACAGGAAAAATTAATTGGGAACCCCTGCTCTTGGTAGACGGTACATGTCAAAGCAACATCCACTTGAATGCCAGGACGCAGCAAAATGTTACCCAGAGTATAACACTGCCCCCACCAGCCTGCCTTCTTCTCATAATACATCCTTCTGCTATATCTTCGCCAGGTAAATGATGCACATGCACCCATATATCCACCTGATTTTAAAAAAAATGTGATTCATAAGACAAGGCAACCTTCCTCCATTGTTTCATGGTCCAATTCTAACGTACCTATTGAAGGTGCTTTCAGCAATGGATAGGTGTAATCATGGGCACACTGACTGGTCTGCAGCTACACAGTCCAATATGCAGCAAACTGCTCTGCACTGTGTGTTCTAACACCTTTCTATCATGGCCAACATTACACACTGTTTGAAATGATTATGCAAATTCTATTTAAGTGTCACAAAGATTAAATATTTTGTTTTTCAGCTTAACTCATGGATGGCATTGTGTCTCAGGGCTCTTTTGATCACTGAAAACAATCTCGGACACCTGTGATAATTAGATTGCCAGGTGAGCCCAATTTAAGGAAAAACTACTAAAGAAGGATGTTCCACATTATTAAGCAGAGCACCATTTTCATGCAATATGGGGAAGAAAAAGGATCTCTCTGCTGCCGAAAAGAGTAAAATAGTTCAATGCCTTGGATGAGGTATGAGAACATTAGATATTTCACGAAAACTTAAGCGTGATCATCTTCAAGCAGGAAAATGCACCATCTCATCCTGCAAAGAATACCTATGCATCAATGGCTGCTATGGGGATAAAAGGAGAGAAAGTCATGGTGTGGCCTCCATCCTCCCCTAACCTCAATCCTATTGAGAACCTTTGGAGCATCCTCAAGCAAAAGATCTATGAGGGTGGGAGGCAGTTTACATCCAAACAGCAGCTCTAGAAGACTATTCTGACATCTTGCAAACAAATTCAAGAAGAAACTGTCCAACTCACAAGTTCAATTGATGCAAGACTTGTGAAGCTGCTATCAAATAAGGGGTATGTAACGTGACCTGTTAAAATGTTTAAAAAGTTAAAATGTTGTTACTTGTTTGATTGAGATAGCTTTTGATTTCAGTAAATATGCTGAAACACAACAAATGACAATTTTCAGTTCTTTACAACCTATAAAGAGTTTTGAAATTTAATGTGCGTAATAATTTGGAACAGTGTGTTGTAAGTTTTTTATGTTTAAAAAAATACTGTTATCATTAGGAGGTTTGTTCAATAAAATTTGAATTGTACTCTTAATAGTTGATAACATGATAATTATGCTGACTGTTATTTACATCAATTATTTAGGTAAATGAGAAAAATATCATTTGCATAATAATTTTGAACAGGGTGTATGTTTTTCTGCAGTTTAATCTACAATAGCTTTTCTGTGTGATTAAACCATACGGACTAGTCTTGGCTCCCCACGTGCATCAATGAGCCTTCGATGCCCATTGCACTGACATTAGTTGTCCTTCCTCGCAACCACTTTTGGTAGGTACTAACCACTGCATACTGGGAACACCGCAAAAGACTTGCTGTTTTGGAGCTGCTCTGACCCAGTCATATAGCCATCACTATTAAGCCATTGTTCCTGCTTCCAACACATAAAGTAGTGACTGTTTAGTTGCTGCCTACTATATCCCACCTCCTTACAGGTGCCATTCTATCAATGTAATTTACTTCACCTGTCAGTTGTTTTAATGTTGTGGCTGATCAATATATATAAGTATATATTTGTTTTTTGTAATCTAATACACATGTATTAATGTACATTTGAATATGTCTATATGCATATTTTTTATGAAACCTTGTCACTTTAAAGATACAAACACACAGGGCCGCCATCAGAAATTATGGGGGCCCTAATACAGCTCAAGGCCTGGGCCAAATCCCGCCCACAGGAATACACACACACACAGACACAGAAGGACACAGACACACACACAGAAAGATACACACATACTAACAGACACAAATACTGAAACAGACATACACACATACAGGCATACTGACACACACATACTGAAACAGACATACACATGCATAAGGAGATACACATACTGACATACAGACATACATACTCACATACTGACACACACACATACAGACATACATACTGACACATACATACAGACATATATACTGACAAACAGACATACATACAAACTGACATACAGACATACATACGCATAAATACATACTGACATACATACATACTTACATAATGGCATACATACATACTGATATACATACATACAGACATACACATACAGATAGATATATACATACGCACAGACATACTGACATACATGCATACTGATATACATACACACATACATACTGATAGATAGATATATACATACATACACACATACACATACATACATACATACAGACATACATACATACATACATACTGTAGTGGAGGCCTGGTATTGTTGAGGCTCAGAAACAAGTGATGAAATATCCCATGAAGTAATAATTCCAGCAAGCAAGGTAATCCAAGAATATCCCCATACAGATCCCAATGACTGGACGACACACAGCATCAGGAGCAGAACTGACTTTTCTTCCACACAACCTCCTTTTAAGCATTTCTCCCATGCAAGGGAGGGATTCACATTCATTAGTACAGTACCCAATGAAATAGCAGTTACCTCCCACACATCTCCTCCCCTTAGTATGACACCTAATCCCATTATACAGGTTACAGTTTTCCCCAAATTCTGGATGTACCCCCAGAATAGCAGGTACACCCATCCAAAATTCACCCAGATCAGACCAGGGGTTCGGGAGTTAGGTGGAGGGTGAAATTTGACCAACCGCACACGAGGTGGTATCCGAAAAGGGTTCCAGGCGTTTTGGCCCTGCGGTCGGTCTCTGTTCGGGAGGTAAAATACACAGAAATACATTACATCCACCATTAAAATGGCATTCGCATGAATGCCCTTGTTCGGTACTCCAAACTCACCGAATGGGGGGCTGATTCGTCTTCCTGTTAGTGAGTTATGGAGCTCTGGAGGTGTCAGTGGTGTTCGGGTAATCGAGTGTCCGATTTGAGTTCCAGGCACTCGAGGACCAAACACCGCTGAGCCTTTCGTGCGTAAGATGGCCGCGGCCACGTGTTCGCATGCCGAATGGCGGCCACCCAGATACATCCATAAACCACCTATTAGTCTGCGGTTAACAAGTACTTTACAGCTTAATTAGGGACACACTTCACTCTGGGGTGGTCTATTAGTTCGGTAGTTTCCATTCGTGTGAAATACAGATGTAAACTACCAAACAATCATACGAATGCCAGTTACAATTAAATACAAAGCAGAAACAACACACGAATTACAGGATTCTCATAGTCTTTAAGGACTGCCACAGTACCATCCGGTACACATACTAACAGTGTGTGTGTATGACATACTGACATACACACACACATACATACAGACATACATACTGGCATACACACACACATACATACATGTATACACACATACATACTGATAGATAGATAGATAGATAGATACTGACATAAACACACAGACAAACATACTGACATATATACATACTGACATACACACACACATACTGATAAGACACATACATACAGACATACACACACACAGAGACATACTGATAGATAGATAGATAGATACATACATACACATACATACTGACATACACACAGAGACATATATACATACTGACATGCACACACAGACATACATACATACTGACTTACACA